TTTATAATTTCTTATGATAATTTGGAACCAAATAGACATAATCTTCAATTGACTATACTCGATATGTAATGAATAAACATTCAAAGAAATACATAAAAAAAATGCCGGTTTACATGGATGTTGTGAAAGATGACAGAATCTAACCTTCGAAGCGTAAATACATCGTCAGCTGACACCATTACCTATTACCGTACATTTCTGTATACGTTAGACAATTACTCTTTACATTGTCTATTGTGTAAGTGAAAGGAAATATACATTAGGGCAGAGGCATGTCACTTTTGGCTTGTTTTTAGGTACAGGTGAAAATGTGTACAGTCACCTGACATTCAGAACATAAAAATACAATGTAAAATTTAGCGTTGGGCTTTTTAAATTTGTTATTTCATCAGTCTACAATTTGTATATCTTACTTTTAAAGGAAGCATGTTATCCATTTTTTTTTTTCATGAGCACAAATATGTTAATGCTATATGTATATGAAAGGCCAGCCAAAGATTTTACTCATGTGACAAGGTGTATATTTACATGCAAATAACTGTAAAAATGTTGGTTACCATGTGTTTACTCATTTGATGCCGTAATTGTAATTTTGTCTCTGTATTATGTGGGTTGAAAAAATAAACACTCAGCTCACTTCAAAGGGCAGTGGGTGTTGGACAGCTCTGTGTTCAACTTGCATGTAAACAAACAATGTATTTTACACGCATTGTGTGTGTGTGTTGTTATGAGTCCCATATCAAACTGGACGCGGCACGATGACCAATGCCCTTCAACATATTCATAATGAGATGACCTTATATGCTATCCATAACATGTGTTGTATTGTTACATGACCATGGTGCACATCCATTACGTTTAATGTGAAATAAAATTACCAGTAACTAAGTGTACCAGTATGCATAATATATGGCATCTGTCTGTGTGTGCTTGAAAAGTTCTTGGATACAACTGGATAGAAACAATTTCTTGCATGGTGAAATTAAAATAACTCTAAATAATGACTGAAAGTTTATTTTTAGCTCCTGTGTGTGCAAGCACACAATGGAGGTAACTAGTAAATTTAAAAAAACTTCTGAGTGAATTTTTATTAAATTTAATGCATAGGTATCTTGGGGTAATACGCAGACATCACAATTTCTCTGTTGTTTTGACACTTTGAGTTGGTCATGTGATAAAATGTTACTTGTGATGTCGTGGGATGTTTTATCAACTCCCCATAATATATCATGTATTAACATGTTTTCAACCATTTTGCAGCCATGTGCTGATTGTATTCAAACTTGGTATGAAGATCTCACATGATGGGTTACTGATGAACATGATTTTACAGTCAATAGGGATTTCTCCTAATGCATTCTATAGTATGGTCCCACTATGTCACTCTCTTTGATAAACTATACAATACGTAATTGCCACTGTAGCTTATTAAGTTTGTCTGTCTTGTTATAGCACGTGGTGAGCTTATTGGTTGTTTTGGGTTGACTGAACCAAACCATGGCAGTGACCCCGGAGGGATGGAAACCAGAGCTGTTTATAACCCCGCTGGTAAAAGCTATATTCTCAATGGTAGTAAGATGTGGTAAGTTGAAGACGTAATCAGATCTAGTCTTAAGAAAGTGGTCTTGAGAAACATTTGGGTCAAACGATCTCAATGAAGTGTTCACTGCTACAAAGGTCACTGTGACTCACAATTGGGGGCAATCTTTCTGTATCTGTTGTTTGTTGGTCACTTGGGTCTCTTGCGAATGGCAAGTAATACGCAGGTAACTAACTAGTAATCGCGATATTGTTCCACTGGGCCGGGATTCTGACCCAAAGATACGTGACTAAATGATTTAATTTGAAAACATTCCAAGTTCCATTCTGCGTCAACTTGTCTGTAATACTACAATAAAGCCATGCCCATTCACTCTGCCTGCTTAGACCCCCTATTTGAGATTATCTTTGTAACAAAAGAAACAGTTTTATATCCAGCATAAGCATAAGCACTGGTGTCAGGTAATCAAGGGAAATAGAACAAAGAATGAGCATGTGATGGACCAATCAGAATGCTGGATCCATTACTACCGGATTCTGCCGTAAATTCACCCAGGGCCATTAAACGGCAGTTTGGGTTTTAAAAAAAATGAAATGGAACCAAGAAACCACCCAAGGCGATTTTTCGGCAGTTTTTAGCTCTGCTGACGACTTTGTCGAACGGAGCTTATCATATGAGTGATTGTCCATCGTCGTCCGTGTCAATGTTTTACTTTTTCGACTTCTTCTTGAAAACTACCTTGTAGACCTCTCTTAGGTTTGTTC